CGGACAAGTACTGTCGCCAATTAACCAATCTGAATCGAGAAATCAAACAGAAACGTCCGATTTTGTCAAATCGCAAGGGCGTAGTCTTTCACCACGACAATGCAAGACCACACGTTTCGAGACAGACGCTGCGCAAACTGAACAGCCTGCAATGGGATGCCTAACTCATCCACCGTATTCTCCTGATGTCGCACCTTCTGTNTGGGATGCCTAACTCATCCACCGTATTCTCCTGATATCGCACCTTCTGATTATCACTTGTTCCGGTCATTGCAAAATCATTTAAATGGAAAAAAAATTGACTCTTTGGATGCCTTAAAAAACGTCGTGTCTTCGTTCTTCGAATCTAAGCTGCGCAGTTTTTATGATCGGGGCATCCGTATGCTGCCAGAACGTTGGAAAAAGATTATAGACAACGATGGAGAATATATCATTGATTGAATAAAGAACTTTGTATGCCTAATCACTGTCTGACTTTTACTCACAAACTCCGCATGCACTTTTGCACTCACCCAATACAATGTTTGATCAATATGCGATATTCCTTTTTTTCTATTTTTTTTACGAAGGCGAAGGTAGCGACACTTAAACGACTGTAGCTTGTAAACAAATGAACGAAATGTCATGAAACTTCACACATCAACTAGTGACAGATGAACCTCTCGAAATAAATCATGTTCATTTTCTAGTGGCGCCACCTACTGAAAAATCCCGGGACTTTTCAGCCCATGTAGTATATATACTGTGTGAAAAGTACAATATCCACGTGTGATTTAGCGCACATAACTTTATTTCTATATTGTATTGTTAGTCATCGAAGTTCGCATTAACGCTGTGATGGAAAATAGAGAAATTTGTATAATTAACTAATACGAGTTCAAACTTGGTCATACTGCAGCCGAGGTAACGCGTAATATTCATACTGCATTTGGTGAAGGTACTGTAAGTGAAAGAACGACGAGACGTTGATCTGAAAAATTTTGTTCTGGGGACACAAACCTCGACAATTTGTCTCGCGGACATGCACCTTCCGTCATTGATGACGTTATTTTGAAGGAGATGGATGAAACAGATCCAAGATTAACAGTCTGAAAGATTGTCAAAAGATTCGAAGTTGATCATTCCGATATTTGAACAAGTTGGGAAAAGTGGCATAGTTGGATAAATGGGTCCTCCATGAAATCATAGAGAGAGAGAGACCAATTGAGACCTTCGGAGATCTGCATTTCTTTGCGGCTGCGACAGAATTCAGATATAGATACAGAGAACAGAATGCAGTTGGAATTTCACACAGGATTGTGACCTGTGATGAAAAATGGATTTTGTAAGACAACCACCGGTGTTCTGCGCAGTGGTTAGATACGAATGAGGCTCCAAAATATATTCTAAAATCGAATCTTCACCCCAAGAAAATGATGGTGTCTGTATGGTGGTCTAGCAAAGATATCGTTCACTATTCATTTACTAAACAAGGTGAGGTTATAAATTCTGATAAGTACTGTCAGGAAATTGCCACCATGCACCAAAAACTGTGTGCTCAACAGCCAGCATTGGTCAACAGACATCGCATGTTGCTGTTGCACGATAACGCTAAACCACACTTTGCAAAACAAACCGTTCAAAAACTCGCCGAGTGTACATTGAGTTTTCCCTTCACCCTCCCTATTCTCTAGACATCTCACCAACAGATTATCATCTTTTCAAGCATCTGGATGCGTTTTTGGCGGGCAAAAATTTAAATGAAGGAAGAAGTATGAAAAATGCATTTAAGGAATTTATCGATTCACGCTCTCTAGATTTTTTTAGAAAGTGCATTGATGCATTTGGATCACGTTGGCAGAAGTGTATTGAAGTAGGTGGAAGCTATTTTGATTAGTTATGTAAATTTTAAATTTGAAAAATACAAGTTTCAACTATATGTTTATAAACGGCCATTTCATTTGCACCAACCTAATATTTTGTACTTTAGAAGATGTTTGCTAAAAATGAAAAAAAGTCCGTTTTTTCAAAGAGGTATTTCCCTAAACGTCGAGATACGCCGAGATACGCCGCTAAAGAAAATATGTGTCTTTTATTTTTTGATGCTCTATAACATATCCAAGTTCCATCAAAATCGATGAGATACTGTACCAATTGTTTCCTTGTTAGTCTTTGTTTCTTAGCAGAAACGTGGTGACTTCTCTCACATGCTTATAGTGCGTACGCTGATTGTACTCAAACACACGGTACCTACAGTTTAATACGGGTTCCGAACGGCAATTTCTTTTAGACGAGCGTTCAAGGTAAAGATACTCTCGATAGGTTGTCACTTCTTTCCGAGAGGAGACACGAGCGTAAATATTTTGGCTTCTATCAGTATCGAACCCGGGATCGCTAGTGTAGTAGACCAGTCTGTCGTCCGTAGACAGACACTGTCTGTTATGTTACGCTCGCGCTTCTCTATGTGCATACATCAACTATTATTAGGTGCGCAACTAAGTTCTCGCTGTTTTTTTTTATGAAAATATAACTTTATTGTGAAAAAATGGTTACAAATGAATCATTCAAAGTATTGCCAATCGCTAGCTTGGCTAGTAACTTATTCCCATATATAACTATAACTTATAGGCCTATAACTTTTTCCCATCTTTCTACCAGATCTCGAATACCGTTACGGTAAAAGCGTTTGTCTTGTGAGGTTACCCACGAATCAAGCCATTTTTTGATGTCTTCATATGAGCGGAACTGCTGATGAGCCAGACCATGTGCCATCGAACGGAACAAGTAATAATCGGACGGCGCAATATCTGGGGAATATGACGGGTGGGGTAGGACTTCCTATTTGAGCGTTTCCAAGTAGGTTTTAACGGGTTTGGCAACATGAGGCCGAGCGTTGTCATGCAGTAGAATCACTTTATCGTGCCTCTGCTCGTATTGTGGCCGTTTTTCGCGCAGTGCTCGGCTCAATCGCATCAATTGAATTCGATACCGTCCCCCAGTGATGGTTTCGTTCGGTTTCAACAGCTCATAATAAATAACACCGACTTGGTCCCACCAAATACACAGCATAACCTTCGCAGCGTGAATATTCGGCCGAGCCGACGGCGTAGAAGCATGACCGGGCAGTCCCCATGACTTTCTTTTCCTTGGGTTGCTGTAATGAATCCATTTTTCATCACCCGTCACGATGCGATGAAGAAAACCCTTCCTTTTTTGCCGCTGGAGCAGTTGTTCACAGGCGAAAAAACGACGCTCAACGTCCCTTGGCTTCAAATCATAAGGAACCCAAGTTCCTTGCTTTTGAATCATTCCCAACGCATGCAGTCGCTTGGAAATGGCTTGGCGGGTAACTCCTAATGCTGAAGCAAGCTGTTCTTGTGTTTGGCATGGATTCTCATTGAGCAATGTCTCCAATTCAGCGTCTTCGAAGGTTTTTGGCCTTCCTTCACGCGGACGGTCGTCAACATCGAAATCACCGTCTTTGAAGCGACGGAACCAATCACGGCACGTTGTTTCACTTAGAGCAGCATCTCCGTAAACTTTTTGGAGCTCTCGATGAGCTTAGCCGCCGTTTTCTTCGAATGAAATAAGAAAATCAACACTTCCCGCAAATGACGATTATTTGGCACAAAATCAGACATTTTCACACAACCAAAAGTATATGACGCCAAAACAAAATCACTAACGTGTCAAAGCGGTTTGTTTACAATATGTCTAAGCTTGCTTCATGATGTTTTGGATATGTCAAAATCGACCAACACTTACTGTTGGAGCCATCTATTGAAAAACAGCGGGAACTTAGTTGCGCACCTAATATTATTATTATTGTCTTTATATATTGAAATGTTTTATGATTATATATTCTGCATATCAGTACTGAACGCCTATTATTATGAGAATGTTCGATGAGAACATGTTGCGTATATTATCGAGTAGAGTAGACGGCTATTGATAACGTTACAGTTATTTGCAAATATTTCCACCTATTTTTCGAAAAGTCCGTATGTTAGAAAATAATATTGTTATATATAGTTGGATTTGGCATAAAATATATTTTGTTTGGTAGACAAAAAATTTTGAAATTATGAAAGAAATTTGTGATTGATGAGGCCATGTCGATAATCATAACATTTTCCAAATATCTAATTATGTCATTACAAAGTACTCCTAAAACCATTTAATTTTTTATGAGAAAATTCTTTACTATTTCTTATACTTTTGACAATGCATGCTCCCAAAGAAGAAAACAGACTTTTTTCATAGGGGTGTTTTGTCCCTAAAAGGCCTCCTGGGCACGTATAAAAAAATGTGTCTCTTCTTTTGGTCTGAGTTCCAATATATCTCAAGCTCATCTCAATCGGAGGGACACCGTTAGTTGTAATTCCTCGTTGGTTCACGGGGCAGAGTTACTCTCCTCGCGGCACCGTACGCCAACAGGTCCGAAAGGGCTATCAGGATGACTGAAAGGTCATCAGGAGTGCATCTCCATTCCGCCCAAAGGGGCGGAGGAATCCAGCGGTTCGCCGCTTACCAAAGACTTCTCCAGCCCTTTGTGCGTTGGCGAAGGGTCTATAACTTGTATATGCCGCGGCCATAGTGTTAGATATTTTGCATAGGTTAGTATGGCGTGACTAGGATTAAGGGAAATAGGTCATCATGTCTGAGAACACTTGAGTCTCCAGCCGATTTCGCCATCCTCGCGAATCATCCGATGATGGTCAGGACCGAAAGGCCGTTGGGCGAGCTTTTCGAGATTCATTCTCATAGGCGACGCTCGTATCCTCGGAACATCCTCGAGAACGTTCGTAGCCCGGACGTGCCCCACGTATAAACGCCTGAGAGTATCCACGCGACGACTCTCCGCCAATTTGAGCAAACAACTGGCGCTCGCTCCACCATCCGTTCTGAGCGTTCGAAACATGCCGCGTGAGAAAGAATTTCCCAGCCCGTGTTGAAGATGACTTCCAAGATTACTTTCGCCATATGTGGCCGCGCATTGGTATGCAGCAAAAACATCTTCCTTTTTCCAGTGCCGATAAAAATTTTTTCTTCAAGTGCGTCATTCAATCTAATCAATTGCTATTGGTAACGCTCAGAATTGAGTTTCATCGGTTTTGAGCAACTCATAAATAACGTCCTTCTGGTCCTACCAAATACACAGTAACATTTTTTTGCGTGTTTATCTTTGAGGTGCTATACGATAGCTCACTTGGATAACCCACAATTTTCGCTTCTTAGGATTGCCACGGAATACACATTTTTTATCATCAGTCATTAATTTATACAAAAAGTCCTTCTTTTTGAATCTTGATAGCAGGGACATAGCGGTGTCGAGGCGCCTCTATTTGTTTTCAAGACTGAGCACATGCGGAACTCAACGGCCCATTTTTTAAACCCTACTAAACTTATGAAGAAGTTTTGAAATGGCTTGTTGGGTCATTGCAAGTACATTTGTAAGTTCTGATTGAGTCTGATAAAAATTTTCTTACAAAAGCTGTTCCAATTTTTTATCTTCATCTTTCTTCGGTTGTCCAAGGCGTTGTAATATAATATTTTGAAAGTTGTTATCAACACTAGTCAAGTTCGTCATTGATTCTGGCATCCCCGTAATCCTCGTTTTATATGTTTTGCAACAATTTTGTTACGAACGGGTTTGTATTCTGATCGGATTTTTGCTGTCGTTTTAGGAAGAGGGCATGACGCACCGAACTCATGCAGTGGCGAAAACACGTGCGCATCAAGTACGGTGGTCGAGTCGGTGTCGGTCAAGGACAGCGGGAGCGGGAGCAAGTGCAGCTGCAAGTGCGCGTGGTGCAGCTGCAGCGAGAAAGGGGCGCACGACTCAACTACGTCTGTCATCAGCCTCAGCTCTCATCAACGGCTCGCCGCAACTGCAACGCAGCAGTCATGCTCTGCTGCGGTCGCAGAAAGGTAAGTGCGAAGTACATAAACACAAATTGATACGTCATATGACGAATCGCTCGCGTTCGTAAGGGCGGAAAGCGTGGTAAGCAACCTCGAAGATACGAAGTGCCGAGAATGTGCAAATCAAATCAGATTGGAAGCAGAGATTTCCTTAAATAGCACCATGGAAAACTCGTCTGAATGTGTTTTCTTTATCGATTAACGCGTTCACTACCAACGTTACTCATGTATGATGTATATATATGTATATATATATGGTAATGCATGAAGAAATCAACAAATTCCTAGAATGTGTTCTAGAGATCGTTCTAAGTAAAAACAATAAGATGCACTATTGGTTAATTCAGTTCAGTTATCGAGATATGGATAATTCTTGAGATGTAAATTTCTCGGTGACAACGATCTCGCCATATTCTGAATTATTTATTATGGATTTATTTGAAATCTTCTGTACACAATGATGGCAGAAACCCATCAATTATTAGTTGGCATAGAGGCCACAATAATAGGGGCCACAGATAATATTCGTATTCAATTTATACAAATTACTTAGCGGAGATCTGTGGTGCAACGAACAGCAGCATGCTTACAAGCAAAAAGTGGACACTTCAAAGAAATAATATGATTAGGAAGATAATATTCATCTGTATATAATAATATATAATATATAATATATATAATAATATTCATCAAAAGTTATAAATGTTTGATATGTTTCGTTTGTTGAAATATTAATAAAATTGTCTGTATACATTTTAATAACTGAGCCGAATTTGCTTATAATGCACAGCAAATTTTTTATTTAGAATTTACCTTTAGAACACATTTTAGTTCTTTGGTTTTCTCGCAGACAACTCTGTATATATTAAGTTGTTCGGAAAGTTTGTTTCAAATCTTCTATGTAAGTTCAGGACCTAATCCTTTATTCAAAGAATAATTTTATTTAAGCAAGTATGTATCGCTCAGTTCAATGACTTTGACCCATCTTTCGGGTAGCAGCATAATGTTCTTGCTCCAAAACAAAGGTTTTTTACTGGCGAAAAATTGATAGAAGAGAATTTTAAAGTTTTTCGAAATTTTTGTCCCAAAGAAAATTTTTCAAAGAGAAAAATAGGTAATAATAAGATAGAGTACGGTCGGGAGAATACGGATGATGAGGAAAAACGTTCCATTTGAAGTCCAGCATCTTCCTACGGATGGACATCGCAATGTGAGATCTGACGTTATCATGGTGAAAACTCCACGCCTGTTAATCAGTCCACGACGCATGTAGTGCGATGGTAGCCTTCAGTTTCACTGGCTGGAGGCTATACTTTGTTGCATTGATCATCTCGTTCGGCTGAAGAAGCTTATAACCGTAACCTTAAAATCACATCAGATGATTCGAAGAATTTTTTTTGCTAAAATCCCGACTTGGCTACTGTTTGTACAGACGCGCCGCTGGTTCCCCACGATCTTTTGTGGTTAACACTTTTATATAGGATCCAGTTTTTATTATCCATTATGATCTTCTTCAGAAAGGACTCCTTTTTATACCGTTGAAGCAGCATGTTCAAACGTTTTACTAGCTGACTTTCATCCATTTCGTATGACAGTCAGACATCCAGTTGAATAAAAAATCCCAGCTTCTTCAGATGGTTATGTACGATAGAGACGGATTTGTGCAGATTATCGACGAGTTCTCTAACGGTCACTCATCGATTTTTGTGCACGAAGTTCATAAGAAGCATCTCATCAAGTTCCCGAGGCCAGCCAGAGCGAAATTGGTCTTTCACATTGAAATCGCCAGCTTCGAATCTTCGATACTATTTCTGAACGGTCTAGTGGGTGATGTAGACGTCTTCATACACAAAGAACAACCATGGTCTGTGAAACCGTGAAGCCACGCTGAAAGAAATACAGCATTACATAGCGAAAGTGGACCTTCTGGTTCCCCATCTTTTCACCTAATTCTGCCAAAATGGTTGCACTTAGGTTCCTGCGAGATTCCCTTGGTGAGTTTATGGGTCCGGAAAAGTTTTTTGACAAACACGAAATCGTCTGAAGCGCTCTCACTTCCACTGATTATCGTAGCAACGCAGAACGTGCAGAATTATTTGAAACGAACTTTCCGAACAACTAATACATATTAACTAAACATTCGTATATTTCTACTATAGCTGCAGAAAAAGCCAGAAGTTAGCAGTTTAAGATAGAATGGAAAAGTTGTTTTGATTCCGTTGCTTTCTCATTTTAGTTTATAAAGGAAACATCAGATATTATCTTCTCGGATTTCGCTGAATTTAAAATATGTTGTAGTGTTATGTCCTCAATAATTCATGATAATAAAGCCACTCGATGCAATTTTCAAGTATTTGCGAGAAAATTTAGTTTGATGTTTTAGTATACTTTATATGTCGCAAAATTTCGACATCCTTTGAGCTTAGCGGCGTAACTGGGTATATAAGTCGCTTGACTACTGCGACGAGAACGCTGTGTGCTGCGAATTTGAATATTGATGTTTTCAATCTTTTTAAAATCTTATATACACAAATTATTGTGTATTTGTTGTTATATATACATAATAATAATGTATATGTTGTTAACAAATATATGAACGTTTATAGTTTTTATTTATATTTCTTATTAAACATATCTGTTTAGATAAGAAACCGAAGGAATAAAAAAGGAATTAATAAGTAGGAAACTAATAAAACTAATAAATTAATAAAACAAGTACACATAGATAAGAAACCGAAGGAATAAAAAAGGAATTAATAAGTAGGAAACTAATAAAACTAATAAATCTAATAAACTAATAAAACAAGTACATATTTTATATTTATCACATAATATATTTCAAAATATAACAAGATTTTATTACTAATTCTCAGACTTCTCGAAATCTTCGAACGGATTACATGTTTTTGAATAGTATTTATCATAAAAATACGTTAAACATAATTTTTGCACTGTCCTGCCCGCGTCGGTCGAATACGACAATTTTGAGAGATCGGAATTGTTGGCGGAGAGATGGTGTAAGGCGATAAGCAATGAGTGAGACGTTGTACCAAATAAAAATAGTTTATTTTAACTTTAGTGATACTTCTTTACGCGTTGGGATATGACAGAGGTGACCTGCTCCGAGTCTGTTCGCGATAACGAGAGGCGTGCATGACGCCAAGTATAAAGTGGTGATTTATAAAGTCGGAGCCGAACGAAAGGTCGGCGCTAATCTTATATATTATCCAAATTGTCTCCATAGGGGGAATGATTTGGTAACAGTCGGACGGCCATATGCCGTTCAAAGTTTGTATTGTGAAGTGTGCAATGCGGTGCTTTCTTGAAGCGCGTTTAGATAAGAACTTTCGCTTAATCTAACTTATTACTTTCGCTTAAATTACGAGGGCGGTTCAATAAGTACCCGTGTTAGAAATGAAGACACCATTTTTTCAAAAAATTTTTTTTTATTTTTCAACATAGTCCCCTTTTAGAAAGATACACTTCTCCAAACGTTCCTGCCATTTTTTTAACCCCTCCAAAAAATAGGATTTGTCGAACTCTCCAAAATACGCCTCAGTTTCGGCGATGACTTCCTCGTTTGAGCTAAAATTTTTCTCGCGAGCCATTTCTTCATGTTAGGGAACAAGAAAAAGTCACAGGGAGCCAGGGAACTCCTTCGAACCGCGCTTAAATTGCTCCAAACACTGCTTCGAAGTTAACAGCCGCATTCGCTTGTTGTCCACCGTGAGCAATCGCGGCACCCATCGGGCCGACAATTTTTTCATCACCAACTTGTCATGTAAAATATTAATTGCCGTTCCGGTCGACACACCTACGGCCTTTGCTACTTTGCGCACTTTCGTTCGTCGATCAGCGAAAATCATGTCGTGGACTTTTTGAGTGATTTCCTCGGTAACCACGTCTGCCGGGCGTCCTGGTCGTTCCTCATCAAAAACGGATGTTCGCTCACGTTTAAATTCGTTGAACCAATATCTAACTGTGGTCATAGATGGCGAAGTGTCCCCATAAACAGCATCCAACTTTGCTTTTATCTCCTCGCATTTTTTCCCATCCAAAATCAAAAAGCGAATTACCGAACGGTACTGCTCTTTTTCCATCTTAGCGAAAATCACGAAACACGTCTTACTCGAATGGCTGCTAAATCCAAACTAACCTATCAATCAGTCTGCAATTTGTTTTGCCGTCGTTTGATAGATGACAGCACACGATGATAACACCAACTTCCCTCAGGAACGCCCCATGTCGTCTAACACGGGTACTTATTGAACCGCCCTCGTAACTTATCACTTTCGGAGTGCGATCAAAACGTCCTTGACGGCGTTTCGGCAATGCTTGAGAGACATACAATAATGTGTAATTACAACATTTCTCTCTTGAAAAAAGAAAATAGAATAATGCTGATAAGGTGAACGATATTTTCGTTATCTACGAGGGGGGACCCAAAAAACCGGATTTTTTTGTATAAAAACTTTATTTATTAACTTTTTTACAAAATTCCTTCGGTCACCTTCAAAGTACTCTCCATTAGATGCGATGCACTTGTCAAGTCTTTTTTCTCACTGTTTGAAGCATCTCTGGAACTCTTCAACTTTAATATCGTCCAGTGCCCTTTGAGAAGCTGTTTTTACCGTCTTCACATCATCAAAACGCTTCCCTTTTAGATTTTTCTTCATTCTCGGAAACAGAAAAAGTCGTACGGGGCTAGGTCTGGTGAATACGGAGGGTGGGGAACGACAGGCCATCTCCGAGAGGCCAAATAATGGGTCACTTGTAAGGCCCTGTGTGCGGGGTCGTTGTCGTGATGAAGGAACCAGTCACCTGATCGCCAAATTTCCGGGCGTTTCTTCCGCACATCCTCTCGTAGACGTCTTAAAACTTCCAAATAAAAGTGCTGGTTAACAGTCTGGCCAGGGGGAACAAATTCCCGATGCACAATTCCACGAACA